GGCCAGCACCATACACAGCCATCCCCCCACCCGCTCCTAATGACCCAAACAAGTGCGCATGTGTGAGGACCAAAGTGTGAGTGACATCCGGTCATGGAACTGGAATGTGAATTATCTCTTTTCAACTTGTCTTGATCTCCCCCCCTGCCAAACAGTTTGATATAAATTGTGATGTATTAGCTTGTAGAAGAATCACCGCAAACGAGCTTGTTCGCTACTTTGTGTTTTCTTACAATGGGTATGGATGGTATATTCGGACAATTGAAACAAGCCACTAACCGAGATGACTGAAGCCTCATTGAAAGGGATTTTATGTATGAAGCATGCGTTCAGTAACGACCCTTAGGCCCCAGCTAGGATATTTCGTCCCACCGGGTTTCCCGAGTAAATTTTAATTTCGTCAGCTATTAAGTGAAACGACAGCCACTTCACAGCTTATCAGAAATGGGTTTAAAGATGATTCAATGATGTGTCCAGTTGCCACGAGATGTTTTGCGATTGATGACCCTGGATTTCTCTTAACAGTTTGACCCGTAAGACTTTGTTGTGTCATCGATTGTACCAACCACTTGGGAATGTGTTCAGACATCCTCTGTGCCAGGGGCCGATTCGTTCTGCCGATGTAAGTGTCACCGCAACTGAAGGTGAACTGGTAGACGATATGTGAAGCAGAATTGTTCGGCTGGTTTTGTTTTCGATTGTCTAAACGTAGTCCTTGGGTATACGGTATCAATCGAAGCTGTGCGGCAGGAAACGTTCGAAACAACGCCGTCTTGAGCTTTTGACGCACGTCGTTCATTATATGATCACCTTTAAAGGCGAGTCTGAAGAAGTCTTCCTCTTAAATAAAAAGGTTTTTTCTAATCTGCATTGCAGTAAACAGATCNAACAGATCAGTCATAAATGCGTACATCTCGTGCTATGGTTGATCTGCGTTTAAGTTCGGCCTCATCCATAACGCCGGCCAGGATGCTCAGTAGGTAATGACGCATAAAAAAGTGATAGCAAGCTTCACGGAAATATGCCTTTTTCATCATCTAGCATTATGAGGGTTTCCTTATGCAACGCGCATCTTCCTCACTGAATGAACAGAAACATGCAAAATATCCCGTTACAAGAGAGGCAGAGCGCGCCGACACGTAAATCGGAATTCAACTGAATTCATTCTCTCCGTGATCCCGTAAGTTCAACAGAGGGAGGGGGACATGCTTGTCCAGCGAGACAGTGCCATCACGCATATAACTCATATAGGTAAAACGTGCTCGATATACCAGAGCACTAACACCATTTATTGGGCCGAACACGGTCCTAACTTGAAACCACATTGACAGAACAACAAACATAAAAGAAAGGCGAGTTTATGCAAAAGAAACAGTTTTCAGAACCGCCCACGAATGGAGATCTAGCAGCAATACGGTCACTTTATTGGATTATCGGTTGGCTGTTTGGTCGAGTAGTGCGTCACAAACATTTCGTATCCGTCAGAATTATTTTCCGGGATAAAATGCACTTCACCAAGTCACAGTTCAAATCCGGACGCGAACTCAAACTAGTGATGAGAGCAGACACGGGCAAATCAGACTTCATGGCCTTTCGCAAAAATTTGCAGAGAAACGAGCCTGAGCTAGAAGCCCTCTGCGTACCATAACTACACCATGTTTTCCCTATTGATAACAAACAAACATCGTTTGTGTTAGTAAGTAAACCTTCATAACTCCGATCCAATAGCCCCGGAAAATACGCAGGACAAGTCAACAGAACTGCACCGAAGTAGTTTGAAAAGCTCTTAACGCGCAGTTTTCTCATTTCAACGATAGCCATACCATTTGCTGTGGCACAACCAGTGGTGACGCAGTAGCTGTGTAGGATTTCAGGCATCGAGGTGATGATGGCGATTATTAAGCAACATTAAATTACATGAGGAAAACTAAATGAACTTTAGAGACAGTGAAAATCTGAAATTTGACGTAGAATCTCAGTAAAAGGGCTATCCTACTGTATTTCGGCATTCGCCTGTAACGGGGATGGGGGACTGGAAACCAGCGAAATTCGGCTGCTTCTACCAGTTACAGAAGAAAAAGGGCTGTTTATGTTCGGAATGCTGATAATGCTACTCATGAGTAATCTGACAGCAATGGGGAGGAAAGTGCTCTGAATACGAACGACGGTGTAGATTCTTCGAAGCGCCATAGTTAACGACAAACGTTACAAGCCGAGGATTCGCTGAAGCTATACTTCGCTAAACCAGTGGTCCCACCAGACTTACGGAGTATACAATAAACAGTGGCGCCTGGATATCGACAGCTTCTGTTTGTACCACATTATATCCTCATTTTCACGGAAAGGTAGATGTCGTGATGAAGCTAACCATCTCCAGTTCAAAAGAACTCAGCGTTTTTCTGTAGGCGTGCCAGCGTTTCTTGTGAGATTCATTCAAGAATTGGGAGAGAGATGGATGCCAAGGGACTGGGGAACAAAGTGTACTCTAAACACTATGAAGTAAAGTGGCTTCGGATTAGCGTCTTAAAATATCCAGGGTTGGTGACGTGCCAAGACGAGTTTGGAGAATATGACTGAAGAACTCCATTAAGGTGAATAGAATAACAGAATAAGGGTTTTACGATCATACTGAATGATAAAGGTAATTTTGAGGAAACAACTTAAAATTACCTCAACGATGATACAATGATCGTATGATAAAATCATCATGTAACTGAAAAAGACTGGGCTATTATAGACCAGTTTCGGTTGCTTAAGCGGACTTTAACATTCGTGTTAAATAAACTTGGACAGTGCTGTTTTATCCACGACGGTAGGAATTATTAGCAATGCATAGATATTGAATCTAATAGGATTCGAATGTTATAAGCAGAGACAGAATACAGATCATTTTCCTAAAGCAACGAAAAAAACATGGAGCAAAATCCTTCACATAGCAAATGGTTTTTGCGGTATCTCGGAGACTGGACAAAACTTCTTCCTCACCCGGCGGGGAGGGGAAAGAAATCATCTTATGGAGACGCACTGTATCCTAGACCATCTTTTGGGGACGTTCTACCTACCGCTTTCTGGTGGCTAGGCTAGTTTCTCCTACGTGAAAAGAAGCTTTCGGGTTGATGGGACCCGGGAAGGTGAGCTATCCCGAATATTCGCCATGTATACGAATTCTCTCAAGGACATCCTGATTGCGATCTTCATCGGATCGATTGGATGACCTGGGAATGTGAGCTACGCCCACACTGTGTGTGATCCAACTGATTATTTCATACGCCGGGACTACCTAGACAACCTATTTAATATCCACACCGTTTTTTTGTGACTTTCGGATGGATTGGCATTAGAATTTGATGCAGCTTCAGATAAAATACCCCCCCATAGACGGTTTCTTTGCAAGACAAAAATATCCGGTGCATGCAAATCTGAGAAACTGTAGCAGCAGAAAGTGAAAACGAAGAAACGATGGGTGAATACGAAAATATCCCAGTTCAAGCTACACAAATTCTATTTCGATACACATGAGAAGTGTTCGTGGAATTTTGGTCTAAAACAAAAAATAAAACGAACAAAGAAAAGAGTGATATGCTAGGGATAACTTCGCGAGGAACTGGTAACAAATGGTTCATTATGCCAAAATGAACTGTTACTAACGGTTCACCTCAAACGCGAGTCGACATCAGTACTATCACAGGAATCAGTAGGACGCTGACAATTTGTCCTTATGTATTACGCATATTTTGTGCTATTTTTTAAACACACCCTCAAGAACGAACACTCCCTCGGAGTGTGCAAATTCGATCAGTCCCAACGATGTTCGCCCTGGGGACGTTTGATGTGAATAAAGTCTGCTAGGAAAAACAAACGACTAACCTGGATAATAAGACGGCGTCTTAAGAGCCACGTGATTAGTTCGACCTTGTGTATGTAGGACAGATTGATCCAAAAGTGTTCGGGGTCATCCAGATCCGGATCGAGCTTATTCGGAGGAGCTGCTTGCGATCCGGTTATGCGATTGGCCATATCCGATGACACGAAATCTTTCAGTGTGAGTCCAGTGGAGAATGAAGCTAACAGCTGAACTTGTTCACAATGCAGACGAGCAGGGACAGGGATTGGTTGGGACCGTAAGTGATGAAAACGGCGGTGAGAGAAACAAGAACAGATTCGTGAGGGCGAAGTGTTTCTTATTGTAAATGCCATTCACGAAGAGGTGGTCAGTCTACATTTATTAGATGCTCCCTAAATGCTAAATGAGATGAAAACTTAAGATCGGACTGTTTTGTGGTAACAGAACAGTCGACTGAAGTAACCCACAGAAGACTTAGCATTAAAAATTCATTCTGAATGGAATCCAACACGCGTAATTTGAAGGAAAGACTAATCGGTGACTATGAGGATGTGATCCGAATAAATGAACATCACTATTCACAACCTTTTCATTACGATGTAAAATAATGAGACCAGCTATGTCTTATATTCTGCACGTTATAATGCCATATTATCGATGGAAATATCGACAATACAAATCGAGCAGAGGAGTGAGGATGATCGGTTTGGGTGACCAGCTGTGGCTGAAGAAGGAAACTCGCGGTAGTGAATGTGCAATTTTCTTTAACAGCCGGATAACTATCATAACCGGTCGGAGTAACATGATTATGGAATACTTGCGAACAAAAATGATGTCACCACGACAACAATGATAATGAGAAGAGAGATTTGGGCACAAGTGAGAGAGATGTGGCGAAATCAATTATAGGGAATCAGAAGAACGCAAACAAAAAAGAACATCTGAGAAATACACGGGTATGAGCTACAAAATGTGTAATTGAACTCCGAGCTTGATTTACTGCAATAGGTTAGCCGGATTCATTTCGATCGATCGGGTTTTGTTCTATTGGTTACACGGGCAAGATAGTCCATGGTTCAATGTGCGATTGTTCCATCTAGTTCACACAACAGTCGTATTTGTGAAAAAGTGTTCTGGTTGCGATAGCTGTTTATGCGTGACGGCTTGTATATGGGAGTCAAAAACCAAAAGTTTGATTAAGATGAATTCCAGATTGAAGATTGCGAACGTTGGACTAAGGAGACGAGCAGATTTAGTAACGTCGTTATGCAGCACTCAGCCCGTTGTTTCTAGTTATTGGCAGAAGGTCAACTCCAACCACGAGGCTTAATGTGAATATTCACCCAACCCCTGGTCTATATCCACTATGCAAATACTACCTTTTGCGTAAGTCCACCAGGAGACTGGCGCAACGCGTGTGCAAGCCATTGTAGACTGTGGTATTTACGCAACTGTGAAACCATCATTTTAATCAAAGAGTAAGGGATACAAACAGCTATGAAAGAGAACACAAAACAATACAGCCGGCGGAAGAGATGAATCCATTCGGTGGCAGAAAAGGATTGACATTTGACCAAGCAGAAAGCAGCTTGCTCTGACCGTGTATCGGTGCAGCGAGACCAGAGTCTGACGACCAACACAGTTGGAGGGGCAGATGTTACGAATCATACTTACCGCGGCCAGATTGACAGTGGGGAACATACTGGCGAACTGGCCAATCAACTGCGGTCCGAACCACGCATTAGCATGAGGCGACAACACATAAGTGTTATTGGCCACGATCGGATAGACAATCAGAGCTTGTCCGCGGTAGACGAGCCAGAGGGCCAAACTGAGACAGTGCAGCTGTGAGTGCATGCGCACAGACATGCTATGTAGACTGATAGTCGGAGATAGATCCTTCACAAAGCTGACGTGGGAGGAAGACAATGGTCAGCAAATTGGTTTGGGGCACATGTAAACCACAAAAGGAAAGTGCAAATACCGCAGTCACCAAATAGAACTCGAGAACACGGGAGATATAGCAGATGCGACAGACAAAATGTGTTAGGTGAATAGCTGTCCGCGGAAGTCTATGGCCATGGTCAGAAAGGATAGGTAAACATACTCTTGTACCCCTTTTGATTCATACAGGATTTCAGGGAAAGTGATTCGTAAGTAGATCAAGCGGAAACAAAAACTAGAAGAAGGGGGTTCTGAAATTGGTGGTACCTTTGCAAAGCAGACTAGTCTCATGAATTTTCAGTGGATAATCTCGATTTTACACTTTTATGGTAATTCCTCAGATTTACAAGGTCAAATATTATCTTGCATTAATCATAAAATCCCTCAGTGTTATCGCGTCTGATATACGAATTCCGGTTGTTTGCTCATTTCGTGATAAATCGCTGCAAACAATTGAGAAATAGGAGCCAAGGTCACCGGATTAGGCGTCCCGCTGAAGCAAAGTTCCATCAACAGAATAATGATCCCGTCTAGCATTCGCTTGCTCATGATGAACATCGATGATGTCAAGAATCTGGTGCGTTGGAAACAATGTAAAAATGTTGGCGTTATTTTGCACCAGGAATGTTGGCGAAATCAAAACATTGAGGACTGTGTGGTTGGATTCAATAGTTTTGCAGGAGCGAACGGATTGTGAAGTGTTGCAAAACAGAGATGGCGGAGTGATCACTCTCGTCAACCAAAGTTGGTGTAAGAACACTCCGTGAACAATTAATTTACCAAACAGCAAAATTATTTGTACTTTCTCAGAAGGTTTCTTTGTATTTAGTTCGTGAGTATATACAAATGCCCTTATTGTTACACTGTTTGCTGATACTACGTCAACACAGTTTATCATTTGTATTGACCAATCCTTGTGTATTACCGTTGTCGACTTTAATTGCCTTGATAATTCCCTCATAACAAACCCATATTAACTGAACCTTGTAACTTTTGTCACCCTACACGATAGCAGAGATGTGAATAGTCTTAATTTGTTTCAATTTTTTAAAGAGCTCCGGTTGGCACTTCTGACTACCGCAAGGTTTTTCTTCACCCTAAAAGCATGCATCATTTAACTTGCAACACCCAATGCTGAATTACTCAGCAAGTGTTTACAATCCGGAACGATCCCCGATTGATGGAGATCAGCCCAGATTAGATCAATCCGCAAGAAAGGATCGTTCAAATACCGTTCACTTGCCTGCTCATCTGTGTTGTTGAAAGCTTTTGAAAATGCTTTGTTATACCGCATGATACTCCTGTGTAACTCTCATGATCGCTTACAGTTTGCTCACACGCCCTGTCTGTGCACACTGGACGCGGTCATCAATAATATGCATTTTGGATCCCGTAATGAATTTGAACAGACAAGTCAGAAGACAAACACTGCGAGAGGAATTCCTTTCGTATACTCTCATCGGTTGCGTACGTATAATATCGAACAGAATAGACAAATGAAGCGAATTAAGAAATCTAGCTAGTATTAACCATGTGTGTGTGATGCACGTGATTGGTTACAGCCAGGGAAGCCCATAGGAACCAGTTTACTTCAGTTAGTCGTACACAATCATCTTCCATCAATATCGATTCAGGTGTTTTTCAGGGTGTTATTTTGTCCTCTTTCTTTTTTCTATGTGCACACAGAATCTCCACATTTCCCGTAACCGTACCTAACATCAATAAGTGCATCGATGTTCCATATAGTCTTAAAACTAACATCCATTACATTGCATGAGTAAGTAATCTCCATGATCTTAAAGTCAATAATCAAAGCACCCCAAATCTGATTTGGTTCAATACCTCATTATCACCCTCACCTACAACCTTTCTCGGTCTGCTCATACCATTAACGTTTTACAAAAGTTCGTTGACTGTCCTTTTGTGCATTCAGGCTCAGAAAACTGGCCGTTCCACTTAATCTTATTCTGAAATTCATGATTGCCTGCATCTTTATACAGTGGTTATACTGCTCCCTAATATTTATTCCTGGTTATAGAAAAGAAACGATTTAACCTTGCCCTCCAATCTCTTAAACTTTCGTGCTGATACAGTGAAATTGATTGAGTTGTTCTGGTTATTTTTTTGTTCCCTATAAGTTCGACGCTTACGATACGCTTTTTGACAAGATAACACGTAGTCAATAGCACTGTCTGCATTCCGAAGTCATAAAGACCGTGTCAAACCCCGTAACTCCATCCAAATATCAACTCTTTCCTTCCCGTACTTTTTCGTGCAGAAATATGGTGATTCTATACCGGGTTCGACTCTTGGTTGATTGTACGACAAGTGTAATATACTTTTTATTTTACTACAGAATAGAATCTTTTTTAATTTTTATCACGATCCAACGTACAAGTTCGTAAACCACTAAAAATTCACCCTTTGGGTTATAACGTGTCTCTCGATTTGACTAGGTAAAACGTCTGTGTACTTTACCGGCGGTCAAATAATCGAGCCTGCATCAATCCGACCCGGAGGTGGGAGCTGGAATTCCACCATCACTGAAAAAAAAGACTTTCCAAAACGTATTTATGTGTTCACCTGAACAGATGCAGATCCATCTATG